GACGGACGCCGTGCACGTCAACTCATAGAGTGTAAAGCAGCCTGTCAGGACATAAGCAAACACTCATTAGCTCTTCACCAGAGGAGCTGGTTGGGTGATTCTAAAGTGACTCTTGATGTATGTCAGTGACTCATTAAATAGCCAAGAGAGGCTTTACACAGAGCGTTCCTGAGGGCCATTTTCCCGCTGTGTTGAAACTGAATAACAGTTATATGCAAAAAAAAAAAAAAAAAATGTAGCTGTGTGCATTTATGAGAAAGTGGATATTGTTAACCAGTAACAATGCAGCTGCAGTATCTTGTTTTTGTGATGTGTTTCTCTTGAAGCAGTTACAAATCAAAACCAAAATCCTTGAAAATAAAGAAAATAGCGGAAAGACCTCAGAGGTGGTAATTCTAGTTTTTCGATTGGTAACGCTGGCTTAAAATCTTCACCTAAGTTTTACTGTTTTACTGTTACCTAGAGAGAGAGAGAGAGAGAGAACTGTTTTATTGCTCATGAGTTTTCAATTTTCAGTTTGTAAGTGAATTAATGTGCCATTTTCTTTTTGAGATTTAACAGTCCTGGTGGAGGAACATAATACTCTGTATCTACTATTTACTGTACTTAGCCCCTAGATTTGTAGTTACAATCTGAGGTGAAGTGGAGAGGACATGGTGTGATAATATCCTGTGTATTTGGCCATCAGGGCAGACTGTTCACCCATTTCAATGCCCCCACCCCCACCCCCGATGGTCCCAGCTGACACTGAGCGCTGCTGAACTAAACCAAAACTAAACTGAACTAATCAATGCCAATCGTCTTTGCCCTAAAAGGCACCCAGCTGTCCTAATATGACTGCCACATTTAATTTCCATCTGCCAGGAGGTGGCAAGTGAAGAGAGGATGATGAGTGGTGATTAGTGGGAAGTGAGCCAGTTTGACAAGGATAGATTAAAGTTTGGCTGGTCAGGAGTGCAAGGACGTTGACATCCTTGGCAACGTTCAGATGAATGAAGTCTGAGAATGCAAATATTTTCTGCACATGAAGAGACACACTCACACAACGGGCTCCTAGCTATGTTTTTCTTTTTTCTTTATCACTCTACTTCTCATTGATTTACTTGTACCCACCCAGTTACACACACACCACCAACAAAAGCTTTTTTTATTTCCTTTGATGAGCTACATGAAATCATGGCCTGCGGAGTGCCTCTCTCTCTCTCTCTCTCTCTCTCTCTCTCTCTCTCTCTCTCTCTCTCTCTCCCTCACACAAGCACGCACATACACACACGCCTCTCAGGGGTCAAAACGTGTGAACCTCCAGAGCTCACACACCTCTGATTGGTCGGGCCTTATCTGTGGACTGGTCTCGATTCGTCTAAAGCTTCACGCTAACATTAACAAAGACATGTTCAGTCGAGATGTGCACACACATGCAAAGACAGGAACATCTAGCGAGGGAATTACAAATGAACAACACTGTTGAACGAGGAACGTTCTGATGTTGTGGTAAGTCTGTGCACAGAGACGCACAACTATTCACACACATTTACACCAGTTTATAATCCATTACTGGATCTGGGGGCAGCTGTGTCATCAAAGACTTTCATTCATTGCATTAGTACATAAATTACCCAGATTAGGTTTCATTTGACTTTGTAAAGCGTATTACTGTAGATATTGTGTTTTTTTATTTTCATAGGTTTTTTTTGTATTGACCTTGTGATTTAAAAAAAAAATGAAAACAAACTTTAAGGCCATAACAGGAGTTTATTTTTCTGCTCCAAACGCCCTGATTCACGTTGAGTAAACAAAACATCTGGGTTACTTTAGACTTGTGCTGAGAGTTTCTTGGTTCAACAGAAACTTTTTCACCCTTTATTCAGCTGAATAAAATTTACTTGTCAATCATGACATGACTCAGAAAAGCTGTTATACTCAACAGGTGTTAGATAAAATGAAGTGTGTGGATATTTCAGAGTGTGGGAGAAGAGGTATAATCAACAAGGTGATAATTACCAACACAACCACACCAATGCCAATGTTTCCATTGCACTTACATTCTTAATCTCTTTTTAATGACAAGTTAGCAACACTCACAGACACACACACACAAACACACACACACACACACACACACACACACACACACTCAAATGTGTATGCATACACACATCCAAACAGATACACTGTGACTGTGACATGGAGACATTCTGCTACTCTGTTACTGGCTTTTGTATTTGGCTGCTTAGTCATATTATTAAAGGTCCACGTTTTCCTATTTTCCTGTGTTTTATTTTGAAGTGTTGCTCCATAAGAAGACATATTTATGGTTTTAAGAACCAAAAACCATCTCAGGGTAGTTTTACATCTCCTCTCTCAGGCTTCTCTCTGGAGCTCTAGTAACAACAGGTCAGTAAGCCAATCAGAAGAGAGGAGGCTCTGAACCTCTCTTATTGATTGGCTCACTGTTTTCTGAGTGATTGAATAAGAATATAGCAGATTTCAGATTTCAAATCCTACAAGGTTGACGCTGGGTCCAGGTGGGCGGGGCTTGGGGCATGGCTGAGGGTGTTGACTGCTTTGTTGTGACATCACAAAGTTACAGAAGTCCTGACGGCTGGTTTTAAGGCTCACTTTCTGAATACAGGCTGTGTGCGTTTCTCTGTGGACTGAGGCTTTGATACTTTCACAGTATTAATATAGAAGCTAGACCTGATCTATAATCAAACTACACATGGACAGAGACCTTTAGACTGGATGGGAGCTTGTTATTTTTCAGTCAGATAGAGATGTGTTGTTTATCAGGATATTTGGTAAAAAGGCTGGGCAGGTGTGTCTGTGCTTGTTTGTGTTTGTTTTGATGTATCAAATGTATCAAGAGAATTTGTGTGTTTATCCCAACTTACATTAATACAATCACCTTTATTTAGATGATTCCTCTGCTTTACAAACCAGGTCAAGTGAGTTTGATACTAAACATAAATACAGTAACATACTTACTGTAGACTTATTGAGTAAAAATAGAATGGATTTGCAGAGAAAACACATTCAAATTTCACACAAGTTAGATTAAAAATAAACAGTAGCACACAAGAGGTATAGACATTAGACATATAAGAAAAAATTGGCTTTGTTGTCATTATTATGCGCATGTGTGCCAGTCCCTGAACTTGTGTGCAATCTTTTTCCCATCATCCCATGGCTCACAAACCTGAGTTGTATTCCATCAAAAGCAGCTTGCACAACAAGCATATTCCCTAATTGGTGCTTGAGCTTTTAAATTGCCTGTGTTTTCTCACAGCAAAGCAGTCTCCCAGAATGGTAATCTGAAAAATCCCCCCCCCGCCCCCTTTTGAAAGAGAAAAATAGTGTCAAAGTTCTGCAGTAAGCACGTTTCCCTCTCTTGCTGCTCTCTGACTTGGCCCTCGGAAATGGAAAAGCTACTCAGTCTCAGACAAAATAACATTTTATACGGAATAATTGATTCACATATTTACATAATACACAAGTTAAATATAACAAACTTGAAAAAGTAAACTTTTCATGGAACTGCTGCATACAGAACACCTCATAATCACCCTTGCCCCTCCACTTGTCACTCATTTTGATGAGCTGTCTAACATCTGATGGTATACAGCTGGATTCTGAAGTAACAAGCACAGAAATGGCAAAGAGCAATCTGCTCTAGAACAAAGCAATACAGGCAGAACCTTCTTGTTTTTACATGTTTAGCTTTGTTATTACATCCTTTCAGAATATCACAGTCAAGTTTAGGACTTCCCTTACTGATTTTGGCCATATATCATATTCTGTCTTAAACACAAAGTTAATTTTTCCCCTTTTTTGGCAATAGAATCTTTCCGGTGCATCTTTCTTACGGTCAAATCTCTTCAATGGTGTCCCACAAGGTTCCATCCTAGGTCCTATTTTCTTTTCAAAGTCATCTTCAGCCTTCCACTGCTGTGCAAATGACACATAGCTTTGTCTTTCTTTAAAATGACATGATCAATGAAAGTTAAACAGCATGGGACAACATTTCTGTTCTGCTTAACAAGAGCAAAAGTAAAATTGCCTCCCTAGCACTCCCACCTCTGTAGGGTATTTACTGACATATTTTGTGTCGTAGAATGATGTCTTGGGCTTGTTTTATCTTATTTCAGGCCTCTAACCAAAAACCCATTCAAAACCCATTGACTTCAGGGCGAGTGAGCCGAAAGTGCAAAAATATTTCTAGGTTTTATGACTCATTCCTGCAGCACTCTGTAACTGCAGCAATAACAGCAATAGTACAGCAATCCAATGTTTCATTGTTCAGTAGAGATCTCAGCAGTTCACCTTATTTGCTAGAGAGAAAAGCTCTTTGTAGCTGTAGATGTGGCCCAAATATTTACACTCCCGCTCATGTATTCTGCTTGTGATGTAGAAAAGTTAAAAGAAGGGAGATGTGGGAATCTGGGAACCTATTAAGACTTTGTAGTTTTGCGATGTTTTTGCCAAGAAATATTCTCTCAGTTCAGCACTCCTTTGCTCCCTTATCTCATTACTAGGAACATGTGACCTCACCATCTACAGTGTCTAGTATATACAGTGCATTCGGGAAGAATTCAGACCCCTCCACTTTTTCAACAGAAAGATTGTTGGCTTCCATTGTGCCACAATTGTAGGTAGGTTACTGAGAATACTATTGAGTAAAATAACAGTCCAAAATATTTACTAAGGTAAAACAGTGATCAACTTTATTTCGGCTTGTTTGCAATATAGCAAAGTGTGAAAAAAGAGAAGGGGTCTGAATGTATGTCATTATTGGTAATAAGACTTGTTATTTTGTTTTTCATAGTTTAATTCTATTAATATTGCCTTGCTTTAATACCTTTTATTGCATCGGTGCTGTGTAAACTGTGTAAAGTGCATTGGAACATTTTTATGATTGTTTTTAAAAACAAGTGCCTTTTATATTTTAACCAGTCAAGTGGCAGGTCATCAGTTAACCAGTTCCCTTCCATCTGTCCATGCAGGAAACTCTCCTTCAGAGGAGTCAGAAGAGCGTGACAAGGAGCCCAGGACGCTTACCTATCCTGCATATATTGCCAGTCTGCTGGACACGGGTGCGAAACGTATGGCGGCCGGTGTCCGTATGGACTGTACCAGCCAGGGCCAGTGCCCACGCTCCTGCCACCTCTGCCACATGAGCCCGAGGGCCGCACAAGGACGGCAGCAGTCTGAGCCTGTCCTGCTGCAGATTACCAAGGCTGCACCCATCTATGAATTAGTGTCCAACAATGAGACATACCAGGTGTGTACAGTGTTTTTTTTGTCTTTATCCTTAATATACATACTATAAACAGCTAGGACAGTCTAATGTCTGAAAAACAGTCCTCTTGCACACATTATATAATTTTTCCGTTACACCCTCAAAATTGGTGGCTACATCTTTTCTCATCCTCCTGAATTGGATTATCTCACTTACCTTCCCTGTGTATGATTAAAGGAAGCAGTTATTGTCCAGAGTCCTTGTCATGCTTTGTTCAGTAAAATCAAAGTTTTCTTTGATCTGGAGAAAGTAAACTTTTCCACCATTTTCTCATCTAAGCTCTCTTAATGTGTGAGGACAGCAGCAAACAATGCAAAAACTGAATCCAGACCTGAGTATGGGTGTGTGATCATTTAACTACAGTCAGTCTATTAACTGGCATCCTGCTATGAAATGCACCATGTGTTTGTGACTGTACAGTGTGTGGGGAATCCATCAGGCCTGAAAACTTCATGGCCTCATTATGAAACAGATTACAGAAACAGGATTTTACAGAGAAGACTTTTCCTTTTAGAGAATCATACCTCACTCTGCCGGCAGCATGCTGTGCCATAATCTGCCGTACTATGCTGTGACTTATTTGACTTCATCTATACTGTATGTCGTCACTGCTTCTAGTCCTGCAGAAGAAAGGTTTGGTATAATGCTGTCCACTCTCCCGGGGTGACAGGCTTTCATTGTGAAGCTCAGGCAGACCAATACAGCCGCTGTTATTGACTGCAGCTGTTTGCAGGTTGCTACAGCTTCACTGTGCATCTACTTGTGTAAAACGATACACAGGCAGCATTTTGAATGACTTCGCTCACGCATACTTGTATCACTATGACATATAATTATGATATCTTCTATCTCAGATCAAAATGCACAGTGTCGACATACATGGTCAACAACCTGATACAAAACAATACAAATAATCCATCACTATTTGATACTGTCTGATTTAATGTCGATTTTTATTGAACTCTTACTTTTTTTACAGTTGAAAACGTACATTTCTCTGTTCTGAGTAACTTAAACACTTGATATAAATCTGAGGATCAACTCTGGTACCAGAACACTGACTGACTCTAACAAATGGGTCACTGTTGTCTTTAAAATAGATTTTATTCACTTATTTAGCATAAACAAATATTTCATAACAGCAAACAGCGGGGCACATCTTTATTGCAAAGATTGTAAAATCTTAACAGTATACAGTATGTCACATGAATTAATCAGAGATGCTGCATTATGCTTCAATAGGCTTTATTTTATTTTATTTTTTGCGTAATTCTAGTTGCACAAAATGAAACTAAAGTTGTTCCAATAATGCAGTATAAAAGTATACATATTACCTAGACATACATGTACGGATGACTAAAGTGTCATCCATCTGAACAGTGTGTCTGTATGGGCACATGTCATTGTAAATAAAACAGCTCATGGTTTCAATAAATATCTTCAGTCAGAAGAAGTTTAGGGTCAGTGTGCTGTGACAGTGCTCTAGCATCGGTAGCTAACGTATTCATTGCAGGTTGACTGTTTACTTAACAATGAGGTTTATTCAGCATATTGTATTTTATGATTCATATATTATGATGGAGTGTAGAGATTTCAGACACAGCTGGACAAGGTAGAGCCAGACATTTTATTTCAGTCTGGGAATTTATCTTTAATGATGTGGAAGGCTTGAAGTAGGTATGTATGTTATTCTTTGAAACATCAGCTCTCAAGTTTAAACATATCTGTCAACATTAAAAATGTTTTTTTAATGAAAGTTAGTGATAGCAAATGCCCAGAAATAATTTGATATTATTACTTATTACTTACTATCAAATGAATAGAAGAAAATAATTCTAAAATCCACATTTCATGACGTGAGAATACATTTGGAGAGTTACTGTTCATATGGGAATATTGCATGTTCCAATTAGACGTGCTTTGAATTGAGGTTTTGTCTGTCTTCTCTCTCTCTCCCTCTCTCTCTCCCTTCTCAGGCTCTTCAGGAGGCCATGATGAGCATGCTGTGGTGTTCGGGGAAGGGCGATGTTATCGATGACTGGTGTCGGTGTGATTCCAGTGCCTTTGGCACAGATGGGCTGCCCACCTGTGCCCCACTTCCCCAACCAATGTCAGTAACTAAGAATGAAAATTACTTTTCTCCTACACACATTACTCTCAGATGGGTTGTGGTAAATACCATCTATCATTTTACTGGCAGAACTCTGTCTCCTGCTGCAGTGGTCTTGAGTAATGTGCCGTCAAGATGCACGTGTACGCCGCATTTTATTGCAGCCAAATATAACAGTCATGAATGGATGAGTGAACAGACCTAACAGGCACAGGTCCAGATGCCCGAGGGTCAGGGGCCACTGGACCAGAGTCTCTGTTTAAAGAGACTGTTGTTATTTCTTGCTGGAAAGTCTCAAAGCTCATTTAAACGATGCAAAACAACCACAAAGGCAGGCGAAATGACCACGCAGAGACACAAACAAATAGAAGGAGACACAAAACAACCACAAATAGACACAAACAACTACAAAGTGATGCAAACTGACCACAAAGGGGTTGGAGGTGGGATCATGTTTAGTCCATGAATACAGCAGTCACTGATTTACTTCTCCTGTCCAGCTGGGGTGTGCTAATCAATGGAATTAGCTCCTGTGTTGATTAGTTGACATTAAAACCTGTGGGTCCCACAGCCAAGTATGTGCAGCTGATCACTCCAGAGTAAATCAAGTCAGACACAACATAAGGGGATAAATGACTGGATTTCCTGTTGACAGAAGTGTGTGTGACATCGTAGAAAACATTTCTTTCTACAGTTTAGCAGAACATGATGTTAGCCGTCAGTTACAGTAATGAGACCAGTTTGCTGACAATATCTTTCACTCAGCGGCGCGGTTTTACATCTCTGTCACTCTGTTGCCAGGCTGAAGCTGTCTTACACCTACGAGCCCAGCAGCTCATTGGTCATCATGGAGTGGAACCACACTGAGCCACCAATCGGTGTCCGGATTGTCGATTACCTCATCAGCCAGGAGAAGGTGACAGAGAGGACTGACCACTCCAAAGTTGAGACAGGTACGTCTGCCCAGAACTCAACCCACATCAAAAGTTCTGCTATTGATGACATACAAGATCCGATAGGTGGAAAATTGTGAAACAGGTTAGCGTTGCCAGGCAACGAGTGATGCCAGTTCAGTTCTTTTTTTCCAGAAACTCCCAAAACATAGTTTACTCCCTGTCTTTCCAACAGTTACTAATCCAGCAAGAGGCACTGTTGATGTTTTGGATGTGTACCACTTTGAGAGGGGTAATGAGTAAGTCAGCTGGCCTCAGTTTGTATGGGCAGCTGTTGGCCAGTGTTCATTATTTATGCTGGCTCAAACCTGCCAATTTGTCAGCACCATGTGGCCAAAAAAAGCCTAATTTGTTTTTATCTAGTCAACCACCTGGAAGGAATCCTGCTCCAGAGGTGAAAAAGAAGGGATTTCATCGAGCTGTGGCTGTACAGTATACACTAAGGGGCTTCTGCTTGGCATCAACCCCCCTGTACTGTTGTCACAGAAAAAGGCTTTCATGAATTTCCACTTTTTTTTTATCATAGAAGTTTCCTCTAGAGTTTGGGAAAAGTTCCACTGCAAAAAACTTTCAATAAGGACATTTAAACCTGAAAGAAGTCACAGCTTTTCAAGCACTGGTCGCACAGAGATCCTGTTTCCTTCTGAAGGTCCGTCCTTCGCTCAGGTTTAAACATCACTCTGTTTGCTAGATGCCTCTTTCACTTGTAGTTTTTAAGGCCTCCACAAGATGGCGTACACCAGTAATAATAATCAAGTTTTGGAGTATTTATTTGTAGCATTTATTTTGTGGATTGAATTCCTGGGGCTGAATTCCTACATATTGATTTTTATAAAATAATCAGCTGTGCCAATTATATTTATACATGTTTATCTTATGGACCATTGTAATTGCTTCCAGTGTTGCAGAAAAGGAGTCATACTGGTAATGACAAATTAGCGTATGATGTTTATTGAAATGTTTTTATTCTCACAGCAGCAACACATTATCTTAGAATTAACACAAAAGTCTTGAAAACTTTACTTTTTCAAGCAGCTTCTCTTTCACTGAAGTGTTATGAGAAGGCTTTATGTTTTCACTGTTTAATCCATATGGATTAAGACATGCACTTGTTAAGGTATGTTTTCTCTCGTGCTCTCACTAAAAGGAGAAACTCATAGCTGAAGCCACGGCAGCAGCAGCAGCAGCAGCAGCAGGAGTGTGTGCAGCTCTGTCATCCATAACAGAGAGTCCAGCTTATTTGGCTGGACCTATATTAGTAGAAGCTGGCAAAACAGGGGCAGTTTATTTTAGCAGTAATGACCCAATCCATAATGGAGACTGTTGCAGTTCCCTGTGAGTACCAGAGTTTGTTGTAGCTTTAATGAGAGAATAAACTGTATTAGTCCAAACAGTGAGTATCATTAATCAATGCAGCAGATTCACCAGAGAGAAGGAGAGCACTTTCTTTATTACTGCTATTATAGTGAGTATGAGCTATAGGTTAAGCAGTTAGGTTCATTTTAGCTGCGAGGGATTTTATTTTCTACAAAGGAAGTTGTACCATTTGTTTATGTAAGTCAGTGTTTGGAAGCTTCAGCTGCAGACTCACTTCACATCTCTGTAAGGAAGGTGTGAAATCAGCAGTCGCCTCCTGCTTGAACTCAAGTGTCTTTCTTCCCCCTTTTGTATTACAAGCACATATTGCAATACTACGGTATATTTTATTTATATATGTTAGTGAAGAATATAACCACGATGAGCCATGATCACAGGGCATTTTCTCTTTTCTGCTTCGTCGTATCTTTGAAACATATTTGGTGTCGACGTGCGGCTCGTTAAACATCAGCTTCAAAGTTTGGTTATACCGTCGTGCCGATGAACAATGCTTAATTGCTTAATTAAGTTGAATTAACACATCATGTACACACAGCATCAATATCATCTTGAAACTTCATTTTGACACAGAAGATTCACAGATCAGCTTTTAAGGAAATGCCAACCCACAGGCTCATCATATCAGCTGATACCCTGCTGTAGTGGTTCACATTCTTATATTTCAAAAGCAATTGCCACATAAATCCTGGGTCTTTTGGTTTATTTTTCCATTTTGCCAGGGTGGGAATCCAGCGTTACTGTCAATGGAAAGTGCAGAGTCAGTGCTAATGTGTAGTGACTGCAGGAGCACAGCTGAAACTTTAGTGCAGGGGAGCATTTTGACAAGGAACAATGAAATATCACTTTAATGGCAAATATGACCTTTCAGTTTCTGTTTTGGAATTTTGGAACATAATTCCTTCCTGCGCCCTTTGAACAAATGGCGTATGTCAGCTCACCATTACCACTGTGTTCCACAGCCTTACAAAACAAATGTTTGTCCCATCCCCTAATCTACGCTGTCAGAGCGATAAACACAGAAGATGAAGGCGGCGGCTGCTCGAGTATCCACCACGACTTTCTGTGGTTGAGAGAAGATTTTTGGGGCTGCAGTGCTTTGATATAATGTTTACTTGGACTTAAAGTTCAAACAAACTTCTTATCGCGCCACACAGTCAGTCTTTTCGGCTTCAGAGTAGCACTTTGGTTCAAGATCAAAGTTTACAGTTGTTGGAAAGAGTTAATCATGATCAGACGTATTGAAACAGACATAATTTCTTTTTGACGCAACAGGAACCGCTGCAAGATGAAGACATTACTGCTACAATAACCTGCTGTTGTTATCAGTCAGCGGTTGATACAGAGATATAGAAGAGATAGCGACAAATATTCAGATCAGATAAACAGTCTTACAACATATGGTCCTGTATCTAACAAGATACAGTAACTACCATGGAACTTATGGAAATGTTTTTGTGGAAATCAGCATCGGTACTTGGCAAGAAACACAGAAACTGTGGCACAGGAATATTCCACTCTTGACTGGATTGTTACTGTCATGCTGAGCTTTTCCAGTTTACAGATTCTGTTGCAATGTCTAAATAAGACATTGCTCCTTTCCATGGTGTCATACACTTCAGCCATCCTCATTAAACTAATGGAGATTACTTTCTTACACAGGGAAATGTCTTTACTACCCCTCAGCTCCTTCAGCTCCACACATGGATGATTTCTTCAGCCCTTACAGGATGGCATATTGTGGATATTATGATGGTTCACATCGGAAAAAGAGATCCCAGTCTCTTCATTATGTGCCTCAAAACAAACTCACAGATACACCACTTGCCTGGGAGGTATAATCCATCACTGCAGAACTCAAGCAGAGGATGAGTTTATCAGACTTTACTCACTCGTTTGTTGCCCCATTGTGTCCATTCTCCACCACAAGAGATGTGCGACGCTGCACAGACACAACTCTAGTCAAGAGCAGTCTGAGAGTATTTTATCTACAATGTGCACTTTGAGGTTTTAATCAGTGAAATTCTCTGATGTTGAGGTTTCTGAACCTCATTTGTGATAATAAATTTTGCATCTTCATCTGTAGGATTTAGAAAGTAAATGTCCCCAAACTTTAATTTATAAAAACCAACCTGAATATCAGCTAGAGCCACTCTAAGATAAGGTACCCATGTGTTTCCATGTGGGGAAATTATTGGTATATTCTCTAAGCTAGCTAACACTCAAAAGTTAACATCCTTTTACTAAATACTTTGGTGTTTTCTCCCCGGCAACAAAAGAGATTAGCATCTGGTCCAATGATGATGAACCTTTCTGGGGCAGCACACTGATGCTGGCGATCAGTCAAGTCCTCCATGCACTGCAAGTTAGAGCTCCGCATCAGCTCAGGACTGTTGAAGGTGCAGAGCAGCTGTTTTGACTCTGTGACCATGCAGAGGTATTTGATGTTGTGCTGTTAGTTTCAGTGCAGGTAGAAACTAGGTATTCAAGAACATCAGAGAGTCTCTAACGGGACATAACAATCACTACTTTTAAAAGAGGACTTCACGGTCTAACTGCCATATCATAAAATGGCAAAACCACTAGTTTATATAAGTTTAAATTTATGTTGCTTTGGTCCTCAACAAGTGTAACCTACAGTATAAAGATATAGACATTTATGCTTTATCGAGTCTTAGACATCATTTATTTTTTAGGCCATAAGAGAACAGGGATTTTGGAAACATAACAACATATTAAAGTAAAGCAATTCAAGAAAACCCAAGGATGTGCATGTTAACCCAGTATAAACCATTTGTTTTCGCACTGGTACATACCATTGATTCCACTTCAGTACCTGAAATAACAGAGTACAGCTGCAAGAGAAAAGAATAAATCCTCTCTGATATAGACACATAGACTTTGTGGGAAAAAAAAGTTTTGCTTTGGACTATGTAAACATTTCCACCCACTGAAAAGCATGCGTTAAACCTTAAGAACAAAGCACAGAGAATTGTCCTGTAGTGCTTTCACACACACACTGTAACCCTGAACTTATCTAGACAATGCCCGGAGGAGCTGTATGTGTCCAACTCAGTTGAAGCAGACATTAAACGGACTTTACACTGCCAGCTCCCAAGTACAAAGTCCGTGTAATGTCCGATCGAGCCCATGTGTGAATAGAGCCGGTCATTATCCGCTGAATTCACAGCAAACGAGTTGGCGCGTCGATGGCGTTTCTATCCTGCATCCTGTCCTCTCTACCCAGGCGCCACCCTTCATCTAAACCAGTATTTCCAGTAGGTGAGAACATGTCTGACATGGACGATCTCATGTTGTGTGTCCAGAACTGATTCTCTGAACATTGTTCACACAAGAAAACGGCTCTAAAGAGCAAGAAGCAAGTTACATTTGAACCCCTTCACCTTCAGAACACCCACCGCACACCAAGAAGATAACGTGTAGGTCAGGGGATTACACAGTTTACTGAGATCACATTCCATAACTTCTGAGTGTTGAAATTGTCAAAACTTTTAACAGCTCTCTCTCTCTCTCGCTGCTTTTCAGACTCTCCGATGTGTGAAATTGCCCGCCACTGCTCTAATTACACTGAGTGAAAGTTATCCAGCTCTGGTTGGTGTGGCTGA